GATGGCAGCAGGCTCCGGCCTCAGGCGAACGGCGGCGACTCCTCCGCTCCCTCACGGACGGCAGCCGTCCCTCCACATCCCAGGCGGACGGCAGCGAGTTCGTCCACCCCCCCGGCAACTCACTCCAGCCCACCGCCTTGAGCCTCCATGGCGGCAGACTGCTCCGCCATGCTCGATGGCACTGCGGACTCACCACAGTGGCGAGGGATCTCTGGCAGCGTGTCCCTCCTTCCTCCCGGGTTTCGGCACCAATGTAACAACGTTCGTAGGTCGGGAAGGAGGAGGCGGGAACCGGCGAACATTTAAAGAAGAATTCTATTTCAAATAAAAGCTTTTCCATTTTCTGATCAGCAAAGAATCCTGAAAAAATTATCATGGTTTCCACAAAAATTTTAGTATGGTACCACAGTATAGCTGTTTTCTACATTGATAATAATAAACTGAAAATTCAGCTTTTCCATCACAGGAATAACTTACATTTAAAAATACATTAAAATAGAAAAGAGTTATTTAAAATTTTAATAAAATTTCACAATATTACTGTTTTTTACTGAATTTTTGATCATATAAATGCAGCAAGAGACTTCCATAAAAAAACATACAACAAAACTTACCAACCCCAAACTTTTTAATATATAACTAATAATATAAATGTGCATTATTTATGAGCAGTTTATCTGCATTTTATGCTTCTAAAATGACTGTGCCAAGCATGATTGCAACTTTACACCAAGCCAAAATGTGATCATATTTCTATTTCAGGATGATTTGAAGGCACATAAAACTCAGAACCAGTACCTAAACTCTGAGATCTATCATCTGACGACACTTTGGAGAAAAAGTTGCGAACAGGAGCAAAGTCTGATAGTAAAGGTAAACTATTTTTCAGTCACGGTTTCTTGCACCAAAAAATTTTTTTGCTACTGTCTTTACCCTTTGTACTGATTGGCTAATCTAAACACTAAATGGCTCTTCGTGAACTGAGAGAATAGTGTTTTGAAAGTTAGAGTGTGTTCACTTCCATATCAAAAGATCAAGACAAAATTACATTTTTATAATATAAGCGCTTTAAAATTGGTCAGAACCATTTGCGATGGTAATCTGAGATAGTAAACATCAAGAAGTGTTTGAAAATTGGATTTAATAATGTTACTGTGTGTGTGTCAGTGTGCTGTTCTGGAGGCCAACAGCTGTCAGATGGAAAGCAGATACCTGGGAATCCTCCAGAAGCTCCAGGATAGTAAGGAATTGAATCCAGAGCAGAGAGAAGTGGTCAAGAAGGTGGTTAAGGATGCAGTTCGGTCAGACCTGAGGACTGCCGTCAAACTAAACTCAATCAGGTAAACAGTCCCATCAGTTTACCCCAAATACAAATGATGTCATAATTTATTCACCCTGTTCTTTTCGTCTGTGGAGTCTTGCTGTCAGCAGGCCTTAAATCACAAATATTTTCCCCATATAAATGTTTGTCAGAGTTCTATTTATGTTGGAACTCACAGTTCCCGACATTCCACAGGGATTACGATGAATATGGATTTACGATTGCAATGGACTACAAAATTGAGGACCTGAAGCTCCTTGCTAAGATCCAGGCTCTGGAGATTCGATCCCAAGCCCTGCTGAACCAGGAGGAATGCGACGGGCCATTGTTGGCTCGTTGCGCTCAGCTCCTGTTTGGACGCCCTGAAGGAGAACTGTCTTCATCCACAGAACTGAAGAATCTCCTCCGGACGGGCTTACCACGCGAGTACCGTGCGAGGGTTTGGCGCTTTATTATACAGACTAGGACCAAGTCTCTAAAAGAGCGTCAACCCGACCGCTATCAGGAACTGTGCGAGAAGAGCAGAACATCGCCTCACCTGGTGCCCAGACAGATTCAGCTGGACCTGGATCGTACGCTGACCTCCAATCAATACTTTTCCCCTCCTTCAAGCCCCTTGATTCAGAAGCTGGAGAGAGTTCTGCAGGCGTTCTCTTGGCAAAACCCTACCATCGGCTACGTGCAGGGACTCAACAGGTAATTAGCCTCCATAGATATAAAAATAGAATTGGCTTTGATTAGAGGTGATTATAGAACTAATGTGAGTAGTACAAGTAATGGCCTATCACAAGAGCTTTTAGACTGAACAGGCCACTTTTGTTTAAAAAAAAAAAAAAGGGGAATTGGGTATGTTACAAAGAACAAAAAATGCCAAATGTGACCCGGGACCACAAAACCAGTGATGAAGGTCAGTCTTTTTTTAAATTGAGATTTTCAGAAATTCAGGACAATATTTGGCTGAGATACAACTATTTGAAAATCTGGAATCTGAGGGTGCAAAAAAAATCTAAATATTCAGAAAATCTCCTTTAAAGTTGTACAAATGAAGTTCTTAGCAATGCATATTACTAATCTTCATGAAACATGACCTGTACTTAATGATTTTGACCCATACAATGTATTTTTGGTTATTGCTACAAATATACCCATGTGACTTATGACTGGATTTGTGATCCAGGGTCACAATTTTACATAAAAAAAATTTAAAATATAATAATTTAATATAATGCATGTTACAAAAAAATAAAAAGTGCCAAATTTTGGCAGATTTACTACTAACCACTTTATAAAAATGTCTTTATTTAATCATTTAAAATAAATGTATTTTAAATATAAAATGTATTAAATATATTATATAATTTATTTCAATGTTATAATTAATAATATCTTATATAATGTAAAATATAATATAATTTTTGAAAGAAGTCAGTATCTTATTTATTAAATAATTTATTTATTAAAACGTGCTGATTTTAAGTGTGGTCTCAGATTCTCAACTTTTTTCCCCCCTTATTAAGTTAAAATGTAATTATTATATAATTTAAACTATTTCATTTATATTAAAGGGGTCCTATTATGCTTTTTCACTTTTTCAACGTTAGTTGGTCTGTAATGTTGCTGTTTGAGCATAAAAAAGATCTGCGAAGTTACAAAGCTCAAAGTCCACTTCAAAAGGAGATATTTTATTTAACAGAAATCACTTTTCAAAAACTACAACGAACGACTCGTTTGGACTACAACGCATATTTTCCGGGATTTGTGATATCACAAATATTGACCAATGAGACGAGACCTGGTTGAGCTGCACTAGAGAAGGCAACGAGTGTTATCACTATGTCGGAG